CCCCCCATTTTTTTCAGTCTTCAATGGCGTACATTTTTCTCCTTCGTTCTGTTTCGCGGTTGTTTATTTTAGCAGGTGATCTCCCCGTCTACGCTGCTGATCGAGTCCAGCGCGGGGGCGACAGCCCTGAAGCAGGCCACGGTTACCGTTCGAAACACGGGCTCCACCGCCCTCTTCTTCTCTTGGTCGAGGGTTTCCAGGGGAGAGACCATCGTTAGCGCCAACGGATCCCCCGGTAGTGGCGGTGGAGAGGGTGTTCCCGGAGAATCGGACGCCGCGGCGGCGGGAGGAGTGGAGACTGAGCAGAATCGAGGAGTGACTTCGACCGCTATTGATAAGGCCGTTGCCGTCGCAGCATCCAGGCACGCCGCGCTGCAGAAGCCGGACGGTCGATTCTTCTGCTCCCAGGTACGTTCTTGCGTGGGTAGGTGCAGTAACACCTTGTCTACAGGCGAGTTTTTTTTTTTTCGTCCGGTGGAGTGCTGGGCGAAAAGATCTTGAGGTCTCTCTTTCACCTTCCCGCAACCACGGTGGTTTTGTGCCAAAAACCATTGACTGCACGTATGTCGGCTAGACATCAGTCTTAGACGTGGGGGTGCTTTGGTATCTGAGAAGCAACGCGCAAATCACCAGCGTTTTCAGTTGAATTGGAAGATTTCGTTTTCGGTACGGGCGATCTCGGGCCACATCGAGTGCGACGGCCAACTCCCGGCGGTAAAGCACAACAATGACATCCTGCATTACCAAGTAGCGTCCACTAACTTTTTCCACTCCCACAGTTGTACCATTATCATCGCTTTCACACAACGAATAGCCAGCATTCCTTGGACACGGGGTGATCACAGAGGATACTTGCGGGTGTGTGCGGTTTTTCGAGGACAACTTTCCTGTGACTTTGATAGAAAGAACATGAAGGCTAGATGACTGTGAGAACTTGTTGCTGTTGACATATGTTGCTAGCTACGCTGAGAATATTTGTTGTGAATCGCAGGCAAGCTGTGAAAATTTCATCTCCTTTTTCGGCAGACCCAAATCCCCACCCGCCCCCTTCCCCTCCTGATGTCGAAGAAACAGTCGATCCTGCGTTCCCACCAACATCTCCGTCTCTCCCTTCACTCGACAGACGCTGCGCTTGCTTCCGATGGCCCGCATGTCTTGACTAATTGTTTCTCACCGAAATCCCGACGCCCTGTTCTTGCCATATCCCCCTTATTCCTTTCCACACTAACCCACTTCTCACCCCACCAGTTCCCAACAATCCTCTCCTTCCGTCCCCGCCTTTCCCTCCCCCCGCTGGTTCCAGTGCTCAGCGTAAAAATTCTATTAGACCCCCCCCNCTTGACTGACTAATCGCACCCCTATCCCCATCCCCGCAATCTAGACTTGAGTGGGTTGGCGCTGTTGGCAAAGCGCTGTACAACACGCCACCCCAAACATGGCCCCCATAGTATGCGCTACCAAAGACGAGTGACGCGTGGATGCGTGGAGTGAGGATTGCTTACGGAAACCTCACAGGTTGAGTGATGTAGGAGATTGCCGGACACATAGACGTGTTGAGTGATTATAGCTGTATACTGAAACCCCACCGGTTGAGTGAGGTTTGAGATGGCCAGACACATGGACGGGTTGAGTGGGGATAGCTGCATACTGAAACCCCACGGGTGGAGTGATGTTGGAGTGCCGGACACATGGACGCGTTGAATGAGGATAGAGACATATTGAACCTCACAGGTGATTTGTATTAGAGATTGCGAGACACCTAGACGTGTTGAGTGAGGATAGCTGCATACTAAACCTCACAGATGCATTGGCTTTTGAGTTTGCCAGACACATAGACGCGTTGAGTGGGGATAGCTGCATACTGAAACCTCAAAGATGCATTGGTTTTTGAGTTTGCCAGACACATAGACGCGCTGAGTGAGGATAGCTACATACTGAAACNACGCCTGCGACTGCCGAACACATAGACGCATTGAGTGACGAAAGCTGTATACGGAAAGCTCACAGGTTGATCGGTATCGGAGATTGCCGGACACATAGACGCGTTGAGTAAGGATAGCTGTATACTGATCCACAGTAGCTATAGTGAGGGGACAATTCAAGGATACAGTGCACATAGACCCGACCCCTAACCAGTACCCGAACCCCCCCTGAAACATAGAGGCCATGCGCCCCCCCCCTCTCTACCTCCCCCAGAGGATGAGGAGGGTACAGTCCAAAGTAAGCACAAGCTTACTTAAGGTTACTGCCTATTGGTACGGCAT